ATCTCCCCTAGGAGAAATAAATAAATGTAAATAAAACACACCACAATGAGATACCATTTCATACACTGGGATGGCTTATAATCAAACACTGTCTTAGGCCTGTCCCAAGTACAATGGTTAGAGGCTGCAGAGAGGAAGCTAGATCCCACATGACCAGATGGGTTTGAGTCCCAGTCCATCAGTTTCATGCCAGGTGTGCACATGTCCAAGATCCAGATGGGATGGAGAATTGGAGGAAGGACTAAGTGTGACCAGGCCCAGTGGGAGGAATGCTTTTTTCTCTCTCTTTCTTACACATGACCACATATATCCTCTAGGATTAAATAAAAAGGAGAAGCAGCTGCAGGAAAGAAATATACTGCCTAAAATAAAGAACAAAATGTTTACCATGGCCTATAAGACTTTTAATGACTTGGTTGATTCATACCTTACTTCTCAGCATTCTTTATTACTTCAAACTAAAGGAAGTTTTCTGAGACTATGACAAGTTCTATGTTATTTTTTACACATACTAATCCTACTGCCTGGAACACTCTGCCTCTTTATTTTCTGTCAGCTTAATTTTATTCCTCCTTGAGAGTAAGCTAAATACTACTTCCTCAGGAAAGCCTTCCCTGATTCCAGAGCTGGTCAGGTCACCATGTTACATGCTCTAATACAGTAGTTCACAAGGGATGTCCAGGGACTCCATGAGATCAAAACTATTTTCCTAATACTAATAAGTCATTATTTGCCTTCCCCTCCCTTTCATTTTCTCACTGGTGTACATGGAATTTTTCCAAAGAATTCAAGTCATCTGGTATTACAACAGAATAAATGTAGAAGGAAACATGAGGATAAATAATAATAAATAGAATATCTATTGCTGGGCATTAAAGACATTTGCAAAAGTGTAAAACAATGCCACTCTCTCACTATATTACATTTTTTATTATAGAAAACAAGTTTTTAAATTCAGCAAAGTTGCAAGATACAAAATCAACACACAAAAATCAGTAGCTTTTTTATATACTAATGACAAGATAGCTGAAAAAGAAAACAAAAAAAATAAAGCCCATTTATAATAGCTGCAAAGAAAATAAAATACCTAGGAATAAATTTAGCCAAGGAGGCAAAATATTTCTTTAATGAAAACTTGAAGCCACTGATGAAAGAAATTGAAGACAAAAAAAAATGGAAAAACATCCCATGTTTGTGGACTGGAAAAATCAACATAGTTAAAAATATCTATACTACCAAAAACAATATAAAAATTCAATATAATACCTACCAAGATGTGGAGGGCACTGCATACGGAAGCCATCTTGAGCTATCTGCCATCTTGAGCTATCCACCATCTTGGAAACCATTAGGCTTCACTTCCTCACTGAGCAAACCATTTCTCAGAAATCAAGTGACCAACTGTTCTCCCCCAAGGGGCGGTTGGCTTTCTAGGCAACGGGTGAGATCCACCCACACCAATGATTGGTTCATGCTGTTCTATCTCATTTGCATTTTGGGCAACCAATTGGTGCCCACCAGCTTATATATAACTCACCATTTTTCTTCAATAAAAAGAAGAAGACTTGATCAGCACCTCGTATTGTCTCCACTCTGTGTGTGTGTGTGTGCGTGTGTTTGTCCCATCTCTTACTCCCTCCCCCAGGGAACCTGTTCGACTGTCCCCTGGGACGGGACACCAAGATACCAATGACATTCTTCAGAGAAATTTTTAAAAATTAATAAAATCTGTATCAATCACAAAAGACCCTGAATAGTCAAAGCAATTCTGAGCAGAAAAGAAAGAAGACATCATTGTATCAGATTTCAAAATATACTACAAGGCCAAAGTAACAAAAACAGCATATTATCAAAGGAACATACACATAGATCAATGGAACAGAACAAAGAACCCAGAAATAAGTCCATGCATATACAGCCAGTTGGTTTTAAACAAAGGTTCCAGTAAGTTCATTTGAAAGACAGTTTCTTCAATAAAAGGGTCTAGGAAATTGGACATTCATTCACAGAAGAATAACACTAACCCTGGAACTCTTAACATCCAGGAAAAACAAAAACAAAAACAAAACCTCCAAATGGATTAAATACTAAACCTGAAACAATGAAGCTACTAGAAGAAAGCTTAGGGAAAACACTTCAGGACACCAGTACCAGCAAAGATTTCATGAATAAAACCTCAAAAGCACAGACACCAAAAGCAAAAGGACAAATGGAATTATGGCAAACCAAAAAGCTTCTTTTCTGTACAGCAAAGGAAATGATCAGCAGAGAAAAGAGATAATCCACAGAATGGAAGAAAATATTTGCATCCTACCCATCTGACAAGAGATTAATAACCAAAATATACAAGGAACTCAAACAACTCAATAGCAAACAAAGAGCCTGATTTAAAAATGGGCAAATGAGCCATCCCCATAGCCTAGTGGTTAAGGGAATAATCCCACTACTAAGTATACCTCCAAAGGAAAGTAAATCAGTATTTCACAAAGATAGCACCCCAATATTTACTCTAGCCCTATTCACAATAGCCAAGATAGCAAATCAACCTAAATGTCCACAAAGTGATGAATAAAGCCAATGTTCTACATATATATAATGGAATACCATTTAGCCATTTATAAGGACAAAATCCTGTCATCTGATGTCAAATGGGGGCCTGGAAGACATGATCTTAAGTAAAATAAACCAGGCACAAAAAGCGAAATGCCAGATGTTCTCCTTCATATGTGGAAATCGGAAAAAAACAAACAAACAAACAAACAAAAACGAACAAAAGAAAAGGCCTCACAAAGGTAGAAGAATGAACAGTAACTGCTAAAGGGCTAGTCCCATAGTCTAGTAGTTAGGAGACCTAGATCCCTTGTAGCTGACAATGGTTTAGATCCTACCCAGGGGTTTGAAAAATGTGATGTTGAAATGTAGGAGAACAAATCGTCACATGACCACACCCCATTGGAGGGGGCGGGTACTTTCACCCTCTCTGTTTCTGTCTTGAGTGGGTGCATATAGCATCTGGAAATTAAAAAAAATTAAAAAGAATGACTGCTAAAGGGTGGTAAGGATGAAGGTAGAGACAATAGAGGGATTAATGTAAATAAAATTGCAGACAGATAGGAAGAACCATTTTTAGTGTTATAAAATACCTAAGGAGAGGACCAGTAGGTAGCATGGTGGTTAAGACACTGGACTCCCATGTGGTTGACCACAGTTCCAGTCTCACACTTCGTGGTTTGAAACACGCCAGGCACGTGCAAATGTATACCCAAAATCCTGAGAGGAGAATGGAGAAGAGATGGGAGTGTGATTCCTCCTGAGGCATGATTTCTCACTTTTTGTCTCTCTGTCTTGGATCTCTCTCTCTCTCTCTCGACCAGCAGTTAGCGTAACAGCTATGTCACTGAACTCCCATGTAGCTGACCACGGTTTGAGTTCCAGACCCGGTGGCTTAAACTCACACTGGCCGCATGTGCATGCGTGCCCAAGATCCCAGGAGGAGAATGGAGGAGAAGGGATTGCGGCATGGCCATCCCCTCTGGGGGGTGATTTCTCGCTTTCTATCTCTCTTTCTGGTGAGTGCACACACCCTATAGCAAAAACCTCTCCAAAAAAAGAAAATAAGATCTCTCTCTCAAAAAAAAAAAAAGATACCTAGAAAGAATATATTATAGATGGCAACAATTTGCTATATATTTCAGAGTAACTGAAAGGGAGGATTTTGAATGTTCCTAATATAAGTAATGGCAAATAGTTAAGATGATGAGTATGCTAATTATACTGAACAAATTATTATCTTAAGATGAATTAGTAAATATTTAAAATTTTTTCAGTCTTCATTTCTTTTATTTTTTTTTAAGAGATTTTTGTTGTATGGTGCGTGCACTCTCCAGAGAGACAGAGAGAAAGAGAGAGAGAGAAAGTGAGAAATCACCACCTGGGGGGGGGGATGGCCACGCTGCAATACGTTCTCCTCAATTCTCCTCTTGGGATCTTGGGCACACACGCGCACATGCCCAGTGCAAGCTTTAAGCCACCAAGTCTGGGACTTGAACTATGGTTGACTATGTGGGAGTCCAGCGACATAACCATTATGCCATCTGCTGGTCTC